TGACAACTCCTATGTCGTTGCAACCCTGATCATAACAAATTTTCATCTTTATCGAATACAACTTTTCCAAATCCTTGTTTATGGCGACGTAGTTTATGCTCAAACTTGGGAGGTATTGACCCTGAAAAACTGTATCGAGCCACCTTAAACTGGGAAGTTTTTGGAAGTATCACGTTGTATTCGTGCAAAGCATAGTCTGCTACACAGCCGTTTTTAGTGTCGTCACGCAACGCTCGGGGAGGAGCGTTGCGTGACGACACTAAAAACGGCTGTGTAGCACACTATACAAAACAAGGCAAAGAAATGTACAAAAAAGTGCACTGCACGTGCAAATTTTGCTGATTAGACCTGCGGGTTTGCTTGCCGTTCTCGTTGCCGTCGCCGTTTAGCATTACACGATTTTATATTTCGTTTGAGTAAACTATAAATATTAACGAGAGCTTCACTTTTAGCCCTGGCTGAATGTATATATTACTTGGCTCTGAGGCAGAGAGATATAAAACAAAAGAAATCGTACTGAGATTCAGGGATTAATAATTCTTATTATTCATTCAAAATATTTCCGCGATTCTGATTGGCTAAAAGCACACGCATAATTCACCATAACCAGTTACTGATGACCAAATTTGGAAGAATTTTGTGTTTAACGAGGAAATGACGTCAAAAATGCAGCGTTCTTGCAGGTTAAGGCACCGTTAACCGAGAAGACCTGGGGATGAGGTTGAGTTGTTTTGGTTATGAAAACAAAAATGGCGGACATATCTCTTGTTTCACGAGTAAGAACCAGGCGAAATTGTAGCTAAAAACATGGCAAGAACAGCAAGAACACAACTCCAAGAGCGACATCTGCTACTTGAAGAACATTTGCGCAGCTGAAAAACCCTAAACGTGCACTATCGAAGGTGAACTTAACATCGATGGAGGTAAGCATGTTTTGGGTTTGTTTTTAAACTAGGAATTATTTTGAATGAATAATAAAACAATTATTGAATTCGGCGTTCGTATCATATGAAGAATTATGGAGATCTCGGAGTGTGTTAGCCGCCTCGGCCTACGGCCTCGACGGATAACGCCCTCCTCGATCTCTATAATTCTTTATAAGATACTCAGCCTCATTCATTGTTAATTACTATATGGCTATAAAATAATAGCACTCACGCGCTGATTGGCTGCTGGGCGGGCAAGATTTTCTTGCAATAACCGTGTACTATGAATTTTTTTCTCGGTTCGACGGCTCTTTGAAGTTGTGAGTAAAAGTTACCACAAAATATAACTATCTTTTCAATAACTGAAAGAAAAATACTAGCATACCGATACTCATTAGTATGAGTGACGAAGAGAGCCACAGTTTTATTGTATTCTTTTTTCTAAAGATATGCACTAAAAAGGCCATATAAAAAATAACTTATCAACTTCGTCCGTTCGGTCAGTACAGGGACATGTCAGACTTCGGCCTTGATGTATTAACCTCCCTACCGCTCGGTCAATTCATCAAGGCCTCGGTTTGAAATTTCCCTTTAATGACCTCACCCTCGGTTAACAAGTGGTATATTTCTTTTGTTTTATTCCCCTCGGCCTCGGATCGAGTCAAGTTAGGGCCTGTTTACATGGAGGTGGGGGACCCCAGGTAAGTGAGGTAACCCGCCTGTCCATATAATCTCTTAATATGGTCACCCTACCTATCATGTAAACGTCAGTCAAATTAAAATGAGAGATTGTATGGACAGGCGGGTTACCTCACCTAAGCAGGTTACCTCACCGCCCTTAGTAGCTCCTTCATGGCAAATATGTAAAACAGTTGTAGAGAGTTTAACTTATTTTCTATTTTTAACATTGTGTATAAATAAAGTTTATCATCATCATCAGTTTGAGTAATTTTGATAATCCAAAACTGCCCTTCTTTAGTTTACCCTTTAACGAACTGTGAACCAACCGGTTTGCCCATGTAAGTGGTGGTCATTAGAAAACGTTCATCATTCATTAGACCTATGAGCTGAGCTAAATCTTGAACGAAATGTTCTCGTCTTGCCCGGGAACCTACAACGAAGACTGAGCCTTAGTAAACAGGCCCTTTAGTCAAACAACCAGTAATACTCGCCCTAATAAATGACAGGCATGCCTGTCTAAAACATTTCGCAGATTATTATTCATTCCAAATATTTCGCCGTTTCTCATTGGCTAAAATCATTATAATTCATTATAACCAGCTATTGTCGACCAAATTTGAAAGAATTTTGCCATATTGAATTGATGACGTCAATCGTGCAGCAAAGTTGACAGATTATTGAACCGTTAACCGAGAAGACCTGGCAACGAGTTTGAATTGTTTTGGTAGTGAGTAAAAAAAAGGAGGAACATTTTACTCGTTTCATCGCGAACTACTGAATAGCAACGAGACAACTCTACGGACGACATCTGCTATTTGGAGTATATTTGCAGCCCTGAGCAGCCCTTTATCTTCTAACCTTCGCGATAAACAGGCACTATCGAGATGAACTTATTATCGACGAAGGTAAGCATAGTTTAGCTTGTTTTTAAACTAGGAATTGTTTTGAATTAATCATAAAACAATTTTTGAATTCGGCTTTCGTATCATGTGAAGAATTATGGAGATCTCAGAGGGTGTTAATTGTTTCGGCCGATAACACATTCACGGCCTCAATCGATATATCTCCATAATTTTTCAGATGATACTCAGCCTCATTCAATAATTGCTAAATATTCATCCAACGATCTATGCAGGCAATTTCCTGTTTCCTCTTCAACTGCTTGTTCACAAAACAAGACACAATGACGTTTTAGTTTGAAAAAAAAAAAACATGTTTCGGATACCTCAGTATACCTCGTCATTCTAAGAATGCGCAAACAGTAATGATTATCAGACATATAGCCCCATATTAAAACTGATGATGAAGAAGGTTAATTACAAATACAAGAAATAACTGATTAATAAATCATTTTTGTCTTCAAATGTTTCATTTCTCTTTTACTGCTACCAACTTTCGGTCAAATGAAGAAATGTAGTTTCGGCACTTCATGATTCCTGCGTTTCGAAATTACAATCAAAACCTCAACGAAATATCAGATAGGTAAATATGTTTAGCAGTGTTCGCGTCTAGCCATCAAATTAGGAGGTTTGGTCAAACTCATGCAAGGAATAATATAATCCTACGATGAAAAATATGGAACAAGGCAGATAGGCAGATGTTTCTACTATGCAGTTAATTGCTAGCAGCATTGGAGGTTACTAAAAAGGACCTGACAAAAGCCAGTGAATTTGCAAATGAAAATGTAAATTAAGCGCTGACCGCCATGTACTAGGTAGATACATCCTTATAGGTCTAGTCACTGGAATGTCATGGCTTTAAATCTTACGTAACCCCCTAAAAGCCCCTAAATTCGTTATTATGATGATGATGATGATGAAAACCGGGTTAGCAAAAATATCAACTCATTCTACTTCTTGCCAATTTAACACAATAAAACTCATTCAAAGGTCTATTAAAAGCCTTTATCTAACGCCGGGCAAATGTTAATGGTCCCTAGAAGCATTCCAACGAGTCCAAATTTAAAATGACGCAAATTTTAGAACATTTATTCAGTAATCTGACTTCGAGAAGTTTCAAACCGGTGTCGTTTCAGTCTCGAAATTTTTATTGGAGAGTGCAGCGAAAGAGTGCCTCGTTAATGCTTACATAACAACTTAATTAGCAAAACACTACTTTTTTTCGCGATCCGATAAACAACAGGCTTTCGCATGGAATAGATAACAAACTGAATGAAACATAGTGCACAAATTATCACCTTCTTATCTGCAAAAACCGGTCTATGGTTCAGTCTCAATTTGCCTCAATTTGCTCAATTCAAAAGTGAGGGGGTGATCTATATCTGAGAGATTTAGATGTAGACACTTAAAACTTTGCCAGCTGCACACACTTTAAGTTTGTGCCAATTTCGTGCTGCAAAATTATGCAAATTAGGTCACGTGACCTCCATCGACTGAAAAAGCTTGTTCTGAGAACGACAACACTTTTACGTGTGTCCTCAATTATTTTACCGGTTGCATAATGGTAAGGCCCTTTAATATATCAGTCTTGTGCTTGGCCTTTTTTAGACATTTAAAAGCGAAGGCGTTAAGATGGCGTTAAGATGGGATAAAATTGACTTGGGGGACTGGTAAACAAGCTATTAGACAGGGGAAGTTGAGAAAAATTGCAAAATGTTTGCTAACCCGGTTTTCATAACTCTAGGTAGCTTTATTGTTTTAGTTTCTTTTTTATACAGCGTGTGGATATTTTGTTTAGCTTTAATTATTGATTACACGAGAAATACGTGTATCTCAAAACCTTACGAAGGTGAAGTAAAAGCCTAGCAGAAAGGAAAAAAGGAAGGGGGGTTAGATAGTAATTCTGTCTACATCCACTTCTACACAATTCCCTAAGCCCAAAACAAGCGAAAAAAAAATGACATAAGCAGGACAACTCAGTAAACAAGCTATTAGACAGGGGAAGTTGAGAAAAATTAAAAAATGTTTACCAAACCGGTTTTCATAACTCCAGGTAGCTTTATTGTTATAGTTTTTTTTAATAACGTGTGGGTATTTTGTTTAGCTTTAATATTGATTACACGAGAAATACGTGTATCTCGAAACCTTACGAAGCTGAAGTGAAGGCCTAGCAAAAAGAATATAGGGAACAAAGCTAAAAGAATAAACATTTTTAAAAAAAAAAACAAGCAAACAAACGAAATAAAAAACAAAAAGAAAGATAACATGATGAGACAATAATTCGACGATAATTCAAACGGTTCGACCGCGTGAGGACATTTTGTCTAGCTATATTCACTTATTATAATGGATGCGTAAAGATGCTTTGAAATTAGTGCCTAATTAGTCACAAAATAAGTCCATATGACTCTAAAAAAACAGGTGTCCGACTGTTTATCAGCAACTAACTTACTGAAGCAAAAGTGTCAATCGCATTTTGAAGGCACTTTTTGACATGGCAGGCTGTTTTTTCTCCTTTCAAATTAGGCTCTTTCTGGCTTGGGCTGCCTTGGGAACGTGGCTGCACAACATCGTAACTGCAAATCAAGGTAAAAAAAAACCAAGTTGTTTCCTAATAAGAGGGTGTCAATCTAGAAATCTTGCGTCTAACGTTGAGTTTTCGTTGTCTTAACCGTACCAATACAAACAAAATACAAAAAGAATGTCACTTTTTTGGCTCATATACGGTTCAAATTTTAAAAGTTTTCGGGGAAAGAGGCAGATTTAATTTAACTTGTCCTTCCCAAGATAGTGTATATCCTGAATGTGTGAGAAATGCTTTACACTCTGTTTATTTTAATATTCTTAATTAGGGTTAGAAGAAAAAATGTATTTATTGTACTGAATAACTTCACAATCTTTTCCATCGCTCTTTACGTCTATTTATTTGTATACAGTGTTTTTAGAATGTTAGAATTTTTCTTTATCTCAAGAGCAAAACGGGTGACTTTTAAGATCTTTTAACGTAAGATTCTATCGACCTGCCTTTTGAACGTTTTTTCATCACCTTTTTTTCGAAAGCAGATCATGATCAGAAGGCTTTTTCATCAGTCAAGCTAAATCTACGTAGCAGAATAACAAACGCTAAAATTCTTAGACTTGGAGTCAGTTTCAGTCGAAGGTTCTATCGACCTGCCTTTTCGGAACGTTTTTTCATCACCATTTTTTCGAAAGCAGATCAGAAGGCTTTTTCATCAGTCAAACTAAATCTACGTAGCAGAATAACAAACGCTAAAATTCTTAGACTTGGAATCAGTTTCAGTCGAAGATTCTATCGACCTGCCTTTTGAACGTTTTTTCATCACCTTTTTTTCGAAAGCAGATCAGAAGGCTTTTTCATCAGTCAAACTAAATCTACGTAGCAGAATAACAAACGCTAAAATTCTTAGACTTGGAGTCAGTTTCAGTTGAAGGTTCTATCGACCTGCCTTTTCGGAACGTTTTTTCATCACCTTTTTTTCGAAAGCAGATCAGAAGGCTTTTCCATCAGTCGAACTAAATCTACGTAGCAGAAAAACAAACGCTAAAATTCTTAGACTTGGAATCAGTTTCAGTCGACATTCTTTTGGCTCCAGACTGCACTGAGGCTAACCTTAAACTAACTTACCAGACTTTGAAGAAAATCAATATCTAGTACAATTTTAGACGCGTATTTTCATGCATTCTATTGAACTAGGAAAGAAAACTTGAAAAGTGACAAGAAAAATGCAACTGCGTTGTTGTGCTTACGACACAAACGATCATGTACGACACCATAGCCTAGCTTTAGTTTGTGCCTGCCCAAGTGGGTGGGGGACGTGTTTCTCGAAGCACATCAATTGGAAATAAAATTAAAGCTGTTTCCAAACAAATCTATCTTGAAATTCGGTGCCGTCGAATTTTGGTTTAAGGGCCTTACAGGCTCTTTCTCTTACACTGAACTTTAAATGAATAATTAAACGAGTGTGTAACTACATCAATTTGACGTTGCCGTGGAGACAACAAAGTTGGAGCAGAAGCTTTGAAATACAACAATTTACTCTCGCAACTTCTCTGTCGATCGATAATTTCTGATCATTTCGCAGATACTCCATTTCCAAAGTTTTTTTTAAATTTATTCGTGGAATATTTAACTTCTTAACATGCATGGCAACCTGTTCTTGTATCATTTTCCCTCACCAAGTTCGTCCGAATAAAAAATAGTTTCCTTCTTATTCAGACGACACAAGAAAAACAGAGACAAAAGAGAACTACTACGCCTTTCTCTTATTGCTCAGAGGTTATTTGTAAATCATTAGCCAGGCGTGTCCCGTCTTAATTCTAGCTAAGTTAAAAAGACTTGAGCACACAATTGGCTCACTGATTTCGGTGATAGTGTGCCTGAGGATATTTTGCAAATAAAGGGTGTCAAGGGGCTTTTTCTAATTGTCTTTAACCTACGCTATTTGACAAATAAAAGACACCAAAGGCTGTTTTACGATTAAAACTGCCGACAAAAAAGGGCATATATCGCTCCCTTCAAAAACTTGGCTTTTTCAACTCGAATTGTCACGTTTCAAGAATTACGACAGCTAAAACTAAAACTGAATTAAACCTTGCGGTTGTCTTACTGTAAAGGGATACTTCTAAAAAGGCCAGTATTAGTTTTAAAGAGATAGGTTCGTGCCTTAAATCATAAGAAGGTCTGAACGTCTCTAATGCCTTGCTACGCTGCAACTTGCCCAGCGCAGTCTATAAGTAACTGACTAAAGTTCTCCCACAGGTAGCCCAAGCTCACTATGAGAGCCCTGAGCAACATTATCCATTAGCTAATTAATTATTGATACGGCAACAATTATAAGACTTTGTATGAGAGTTATCCTATTTCTCTATAACTGAGCGAAACGTGCATTAAATTTTTCCTTTTAAGCCTGCACTTAGTATTTTCTAATGTTTATTTGTGTGTTGACTGCGTTTCATGCCTGTTAGGATGCCAACTGAACCTAAGAACAGCACTACCCTTCTAGGCTAATTAATTATTCACACGGCAAGAAAATTGTAGGACGTTGAATGAGAAATATTCTTTGCTCACTAAATTAATAAAATTTGCATTGAATATCGCTTTGAAGCTTACCTTTAGTCTTTTTATGTTTTTCTTTGTATTCTGACCGCAGTTCAGACCTCCTAAGCACATTTTTTTGGGGGGGCGGGGAGTGAAAAACTGGTGGATGGGGCAAGACAGACTTTATTGCAGCCACCTATACCTCACTGTATGTAGAGGTCGCCCCATGCAACGGAATCGAAGACAATCTTGGATTCCGGATTCCATGCTGTGGATTCCGGATTCCAGGTACTGACAGATACTGGATTCTAGTCTTTGTCAATAGAACTTGGATTCTGAATTCCAATTCACGGTTAGTGGGATTCCGGATTCCAAAGCCCGGGATTCCACATTTCTCGAGCAAAATTGTACCGGATTTCGGATTCCACAAGCAGAACTTCCCTGATTCCGGAATCCGACTTCCCTTTCATTGGGCGATAGAGGAATGTCGAAGCAGTCACATGTTGTGGAACTTATAAACTATTTTGAACAACTCTCTCTTTGTAGGTTGCAGCCAAAATCGACGCCTGAAGTTTTCTCCTCCAGTAAAAGACAATTATCTTCAAGGGCACGTCTTCTATAATATTTCTTTTGAAGCCCACATATCATGTGAAGCAGAATGTCTTCACCGGAAAGAATGCGTGGCAATTAACATTGGTCCAACAATTGAAGGCATTAAGGTCTGTGAGTTGTGTAACTCAGATCACCTACAGTATCCAAATGATTTAAAACCAAGACGCGGCTGGACATATAGGGGAACAGAGGTAGGCTGAATTATAAATTATTTGTTACCAGCGATAGTGCTGTCATAATTATAGAGATAATAATGATAAGAGTTTATAAGAACGCGATGATCTAACTTGTATAACGTTATAGTGAAGATTACGACGATGATGATGATGACGACGCCGACGCCGATAATCTTGAGAAGGGGGAAGTTGACCAAGATGGTACTTAAATCTTTTATAAAGTGATGATGACATATTTAACGAAGAATTTATTGAGCAGGAACTTCTGAACTGCTACACTTAAATGCCAAAAATACCTGGTACGTGGTTTTTAGTAATCCAGTTTATGTTGCTTTTGGCCTACAAGCCAAGATCAGCCAAAGTTTAGCCCATATCCTCCTTGAAATGCTTTGCCTCAATTAAAACCAGCAATGGCCCCAGCGAGACTGCAAAGACGTATAGGTTTAGCAAAACAACCAGCAGAAAAGACCTGACTGGTCTATGAAAAGGCAAGGATGTCCTTGTGGCTATGAAGATCAGGCAAGTCAGGATCCTTGAGAGAATGTCATCAGTGTTTCATATGGAGCTGATGTTACAGGACTAAATGCGTCATTTTTGGCAACAAACATTTTAGGTTCTAGAAACTGTCAAATCAGTTAAATATGCAAACTCATAAGATAAACAATCCCTTAATTAACTAGTGTTTATTATGGGGGAGATGGACTGCTGATATTTTTATGAATCAGCAGTTTGCATGGGTTTTCCTTATAATTAATTTCTACCTTTAGAGGTAATTGTATATGTTAATGATGGAAAACCTACATAATCTGATAGTATAAATTAAAAGTAAAGGAAATCTGTAGTTAAAAAGAGAGAACAGGAGAGAAAGAAAAAGAGGAGCAAGCGAAAGAAAGAAAAACAGCGATCGATTTCATCTCCCGTTTTCCATCAAAGCGTCGGTTTTTTCAGTTTTTCAGGCGAAAATAGTCGCATATCAAGAATTGTTTTGCGTAGTGACGTTACTAGCGAGAAAAGTAAAAAGAGAAACAGGTTTAACAAGCAAAGCCAAAACTCTGAACGTGCAGCACACTTTTTGGCAGATTTCTTTCGTCGTTGCACAACTAACGTTGTCAAACTTGACCGAAATGGCAATGCGATTGTGGCTTAACCCTTTCACTGCCAAATGTGGCCAAGGGCAAAATTCAACAAACATTTCCCAATTTCATTTTAAAATTTTGAAAAACAAGTAGTACCATGTAAAAGTACAGGAAGAAAGGTTTCATTTGAATGGTCATACCATAGGTTTTCGTCCACCGACTCAAAAGTTAGAACCACCTTACACAACTCTTTTATTCACTCTGGCAGTGAAATGGTTAATCTGTATGATCGTCCCTTCAACAGCGAGGATCGTCGCGACTTTGATATCGTCGGAAGTATCCAGAGGCTCAATTACGTAACTAGACTGCAAAACAGTTGGGTTTTTTGCAGTCAAGGAAAAGCCTCCAGTTCGTTTCTTGCCTGGTTCGCTCTCTCGAGCTCTGCCAAGCCTCGATTCGACACAGCTGTCGACAGACTGAAAAGGGAACTGCTCAAAGTCTACAAAATAATAGTAAAATGTCATAAAGTCTAAATTACGCTTTTTTTTCAATAGAATATTTGTGTACACAAACCGTGCTTGAACAATGGAAAGTGTTTTCTTGGATATACAGACAAGAAGTTCCTTTGCGAATGCCAGTCTGGTTACACGGGAGAACGCTGCGAAGCAGGTGATTATGTGGCCAGCAAACGCAGACATATCTAGTCCCGTTTTCGCTTGACTGCGCCACAAAGAATACTTTTCGGGCAGAAACAAACTGGAAATACGTCCACGTAAACTGTTCTCTCATACACGGAATCGCCAGCTGGTAAACTAGAAACTTACCGTGGCTCGCAGCTTCGAGATCCTTCCTTACAAAAACGAAGGCGTATCCCACCCAAAAATGGAGAACAAGTGAATGTTGCTTGCTAAGAAATAATCAACATTGTCAGGGTTAAAAATTATCTGTGCCCGAGGGGTTGGAGCGGGGAGGGGGGGGGATTCCGCAGCATGCAAAGTTTTATCCTGGGAAGCTCCGCCCTGGGAGAAATTTTTTCCACTTTTTCCCTGCCATAAAATCCTTCAGTTAGCCCTTTAGGTCCTTTTACAGACCGAAATGATACAGATTTCCTTACCTTCTCATATACTTCAACTATTGAAATTCTTACCCTTTTATACACCTGGAGTCTGGAAAAGGCAACTCTTTTGCAGTTCGGGCGGAGCTTCTACGAATAGGCCATCATAGGGGGTACCCCCGGGATTTATATTTGCTCTTCGTGCAATGAGTGAAACAATCTCTCTTCCCTGAAGCAATCAGCATGCTACAATGAATGTCTAGGTTTATATACGGTGTGCGAGGTTGGTGGCTTGTATTGTTTTCTTTTTTTTATATTAGACCTAGACGAATGCAAGGATAAAACTCATCAATGTTACGTAAATGCGAACTGTACCAACATTCCTGGCTCATATAACTGCACGTGCAGGCCTGGTTACAGAGGAAATGAGAGGATTTGTAATGGTATAATTAGCTACCTAAGCCTTCACTTCATTTTTCTGCAAGTAGTTCTGTTTTCTTTGTAACTTAATATTTTCTACTTCCTCCAGAAATTGATGAATGCAAGGATGGAAGTCATGATTGTCACATAAATGCCAACTGTACCAACATTCCTGGCTCTTACAACTGCACGTGCAGGCCTGGCTACACAGGAAATGGGAACATTTGTAATGGTATAATTAACTATCCAAGCCTTCACTTCATTTTTCTGCAAGTATTTTAGTCTTCTTTGTAACTTAGTATTTTCTACTCCTTCCAGAAATTGATGAATGCAAGGATAACACTCATCAGTGTGACGTAAATGCGAACTGTATCAAAATTCCTGGCTCATATAACTCCACGTGCAGGCCTGGCTACACAGGAAATGGGAGCATTTGTAATGGTATAATTAACTATACAAGCCTTCACTTCATTTATCTGCAAGTAGTTATGCATTTGTAAAGGTAAAAATTTGGGAAGACCTTAGATAACAATAACCTCAACCAGGTTGTGGCGTCAAGTGGTTTAAGTGAAAGCAAGAATTTGGGTGCCGGTGGGTTGCTCAGTCTCGCGGGCTCATAAAACCTGGTCTCAGTCATTCTTATTTAAAGATTTTCAAAAATTTTTCGATTAATTTTTATGACGCGCATTATAGGGTCGGGGCTTATAGCTCCCTTTGATACTCTTTTCCTAGTTATATCTACATTTAAAACCATGAAGATGGTCCCTTAATTGTTACAGCAGTAAGCGCTCGATCTCAGCGATCTTACGGAAGCAGTCTTTGAATTGCTCTTTGAACTTCATCTTTTTAAATTTTCTGGGATTCCAGTGTAGGAGGTAGGTTTATGTGTAATTCTGGCATTTGTTTTTTCAGATGTTGATGAATGTGCTGACAACTTACATGACTGCGACGCTAATGGAAACTGTACAAACATACCGGGATCCTATGGCTGTGTTTGCAACCCACCATATAATGGATATGGGAAAAAGTGCATTAAAACACGTGAGTGTAGTATTAAGCCGAGAAATATAAAATGATCCGAGTGAAACCTGGAGGAGAATGGGGGGTTGATGGCTTAGGGATTGTTTACATAGAGGTGGGGGACCCCAGTTAGATGAGGAGACCCGCTTAGGTGGTTTAACCCGACTGTCCATATCATTTCTCATTTTAATTTGATCACGTTTACATGATAGGTGGGGTGACCCGCCACATGTTACCTCACCTTTCTGGGGTCCCCCACCTCTATGTAAACCGGCCATTAGTTGGTACTGCGCCTTGGGTCCTAATGACGTTTAGAGCAGGCAACAACCGCTTTAGGCCCTTCCACTGTCGCGTAATTTTTACGTGCGTACAAGCAGAAAAATTTAATTACATTCGCAAATAAAAGAGAGGCAATGTATGAAGGATCGCGCGAAAAAGTAAAAGTTGAACCTCGCCCAACTTCACGTTTAAGTGCAACACTGCCTCGTATCTTCTCTATTTTACTTACGAGAGAAAAATTTATGTGCGTTTACACGCGCGTGAAAATTACGCGTCCACCCTTCATGCAGGTGCGAAAAGAAAGGCCTGAAAAAAAATTCAGGCTTGTATCGGATTCAAACTCTTGACCTATGCGATACCGGTGCAGCGCTCTAACCAATCGAGCAATCAAGCCATCTGGGAGATGGTCATTATAAAAATGGGTCATTCGCTTGGTTCAAACCTTTCACAAAAATAGGTCATCTCCGAATTATCACTTTCAAAATGAGGCTGAGTGCAAAATATTTCTTGTGAAAATGACTTCTATTTGCATGAGAATAAAAAATCATTTTCATGTCGCACTTAGCCTCGCTTGGAAATAGAGGCTTAGAACAACTGTTGATTCGTAATATACCCGAGAAAAATTACAGGCTTTCTACCTGTAGAACAGTTTTGGATTAGTGACTTCATATATGCAAAAGAGGTGGGGAACCTAAACGCAGAGCTCAAGTTCACTTGGAGGATTCTTGAAGGCAAATGAGCCGCAGTATTTAGTAAGAATTGTTACAAGCATTCGTGATAATAAATTTAACTGTTTTCATATACGGGCCTCTCTATTGGCGAGTAACTGCGGACGTCGTTTTCGTCGCCCTTTTCCCATCAAATCGTCGGCTTTTCATCGAAATCGTCGCATATCAATAGTTGTTTTGCATGGTAACGCTACTAGGGAGCTCGAACAACCACAATGACGGCAATGTAACGTGAAAATAAAAAAAAGCTTAAGCATGCAACAGGTTTGATTGATAAACAGAAAAAAATACCCGAACGTGCAGCACACTTTTTGGCAATTTTGCTTGCCATTGTTGCACGAGTAACGTTGTCAACCTTTATCGAAATGGCAATGCGATCGTACCTTTAGCCCCCGTCCCGCGGACGTATCCGGGTATTTTTGAATCCGCAAATTTTTCTTTGCGGATTCAAAAATTTGCACGTCCACACGTATCCGTATTCAAATCGAATTTGCCCGTCCACACGTATCCGGATTCACTCTCAGTTCGTCAGCTAATTTGTAAAGCGATCTTCGACTCACGCGAAAAATTTAAATCGCCAGTCTGTTTCACTGATAAAATTGTCCCATCAAGCACTATATTTCAAGATTTCTTTTTTAAGGTGGTCTTAATGCATCAACTATTCTTGGCAACGACAGTAGGTACTTGGAGAATTTGACGTTGTTTTTAGAGCCCGTGATCAATAGCTCAGTCCGTAGTAGGTTTGTGAGGTGTTGGCACGCTAAAGAGGACGGCTGGGCGGCGTCTACGTTCCACGGCAACTGTGATGACAAGGGACCTACTGTAACTATCATTCAAGTCGGCAGTTTCATATTTGGTGGATACAGTGACGTATCATGGAAAAACCCAGGACTGCGTGAGTACATGTACCAGGAGAATTAGGACTTTGTTTTTTTTGTTTGCTAACAATGAAGAACGATAAAGTGGTACAGCGGCGTTTGGCTTGAGTACATGTACTGTTAAAAAAAATAGGATGTTTTTCTGCTTACGTACCACTCAAGGCGAGAAAGTAATTCCTTGGCAATCAGAATTGGCCATTTTCATGATGACGTCACTTGATACAACTATCAGAAGTTTGTTTTTCTCTAATTCACCATTTAAATTAAATTATCCCGGTCAGGTTTAAATCTTATAAGAATCGATTTTGAAATACATTTTAAAACAAAAGTCAATGATAAAAAAGAAGCTTGTCTTCATGTCATCGTTATCAAAGAGAGTAAATACTTCCACGAATCATGTTAATTTCACATCTTTTGATAATGATGACATGAAACCATCGAAACGTCAATTTACTTTTTTATCGTTGATTTATAATGGTAATTGAACTGAGTGGAGTGCAATTTGGTCTGAAATCATACGTGTAATTTCAAAATCGAACGAGCGCGCAGCGCGAGTTCGATTTGAAATCACAAGTATGATTTCATACCAAAATTGCACGACACGAAGTTCAATTACCACTTTATTACATCCATTTTGAAATCGCAGAATTTAGTAAGTACTAATATTTTATTGATCGAGTAGCCGGTTTTTAAAAAGCCGAAACAAAAAGGCTTTTACATCTCATTTTGTATTCGCAACAGAATGATGCGATATCGAACAAAAATGGTGCGATTTAAAACAGAAATGATACGATTTAGAACATGAATGACGCGATTTGGAACAGATGCGATTTAGAGCAAAAAATGGTGCGATTTAGGAATAAATCACACTGCTGAGAGCCAATCAGATTGCACGGATAGCCAGTGATTTCAAAGTGGATGTAATAAGAGGTTTAAATCACAACATCAATAAACAAAATCTTGCAAAATTTGGTTTCCCCCTCTCCTTACAAACACCTTAAGGGGCCACTCCACAGGGGAGGACGCCTCTGGTCCGCCCAGCCTAATTTTACTGAATTATCTTTAAAGTTCTCTAACTATGTACTGCGGACTCTTTTTAATGAAGCAAAGTGTCACTTAAGAACTACCCCCCGGGTCACGGTAGTCAGAAGGATAAAAAGGAAAAATTTTCCATTGTAAAAAGCAATTGTGGTCACATCCATGAACATTCATGACCAAGATTACGTTTAAAAGCTAAATGAAACACAGAATCAAGTGGTTCAGCCATACAGAGGTTAAAAAAAAATGTATCAGATAAATGTGTGATACCGTCTGTCATTTGTATTTTATGGACTTCAAGTAGGTTTCAGGTTCTGTCATAATTCCATAGATCTGAATTCAGTTACGATTCTTGTTTGCATAAATCTCTTTTCGGGACAAAAACCCTGCTCTTTTCTACCAACACTGAGGGATTCCAGTTTAGGGAGAGCTCCCTTTCTGCTCATCATGGAAGTTTGTTACTCTTCTAAAACTGCCTAATTTTCTCCTCCTCAGGTAAATTAAGGCATGGGCCTCAATTTGCCTTAATTTGCTCTTTTGAAAAGTGAGGGGGTGGTCTATATCTAAGAGCTTTAGATGAAGAGACATAAAACTTTGCCACCTAAACACATTTTTAGTTTGTTTTAATTTTGTGCTTTAAAATTATGTAAATTAGGTCACGTGACCTTCATCGGCTGAAAAAGCTTGTTCTTCAAACGGCAACACTTTTTCTTGTGTCTTCAATAGTTTTACCGGTTGCATAATGTTAATGCCGTTTAATGTATCACTTCTGTGCTTGGCCTTTTTTAGATATTTAAAATCGAAGACGTTAAGATGGGATACAATTGCTTTGGGGGACTGGGTCTAGTTGAAAAAGCCGCTTATTTTCTAAAACAGTAAAAAATTCAAAAAAGGCCAAGCACAGTCCTGTAGATTCTTGCATTACACATTGTCCTAAACGAGTCCGGTTTAATAACTCACAACAAAAAGTGTTGCCATTTTTGTTTAAAGACTTTTTATTGTTTTCTGGCCGTGTAGAGTCACGTGACAACATTTGCATAATTGAACGTCACCTAATTGACAGAAACCACACATGTATGTATCTGGCAAAGTTTCATCTTTCTACTGCTTACGTGCTCAGAGATAGACCACCCCCCATCACTTTTTTACTGAATCATTGGAGACCCATGCCTTAATTTACCTGAGTCCCCCACTAATTTCAAAGTCAATACAGTGTCATTACTGTACTCAGCAAGACAACAATGGATGTGTGGCTCATGACACTTTTTTGGGAACATTGAGAAATTTATACAAATACAGCAAATTTTAAAAATCAATGCAGTAAAGCATAGGTTGTCTAGAAATGTCTGTATGACAAGCCGGACTTGCACTCACTATTTTAAACTGAAGGCCGGATCATTGAATATTCCTAGAAGTTAATTTTTTATGAGCGCCTTTAGTAAGGTCTGTAAGAATTGTAAAATGTCGTTATTATCTCCCAGGTGAAGATTGTTCGTCTGGATATTCAAGTAAAGCCTTTATGTACTCACTGACCAATAACAACGGTTCTGGACACGCTGTATACAATCCTGTTAAGCTGCGAGTCAAGTCAGATAAGGACCATGTAGCTGTATACAGGTGTGATTTTTATGGACCAGTATTTGGCCCGGGTGATATTTTCATATCAAACAACTCTGCTAGTAACCAGGATTCTGATACTTATTGTGGAGAGAGCTACCCCCTCCCCCCAGGGTATTCTTTATCTGGTTCTAACTGTAAATTCTATGCTGGAAGCCACCGATTCACGCCAACAGATATCGAAGTATTCTATGAAACAACCACTTAAAGAACTGTATCCTGAGCTTTTGACTTTGTGCTTTTCGTTGTTGTTGTTTGTTTGTTTATGACGATATGACTTTAATGTAACGCAATTTGAGCTCCTCCGCATCCTTCGATCCAGTTTTCCCTCTTCTTTATTTCCCATCATCCCTCGCGCCCTTATCCGCTCCGCTGGGGACCAAGCCTTCTTCTTTCACTTTAGGGTCTCTGTGGGTAGGTAAGACAGGTAACATCAATAGTAGCACCAGCATAGATAACACACCAAGAGAAACAGAGCTGCAGCTTAGTATTATCAGATAACGGTGATAAAAAAAACCTCACTGAAGCAATGAGAGAGATAGTGTTTTTTTCATTAGCACTCTGATTCGCCAGCTATAAAATAAAAGGTAAAAGCAATTTTGAAAGGTGTGCCGATACCAAACCAGATTTGCCTGAAGAGTACGTATCGATACTTGAGAATGACACTATATTGATATCGTATCGAACATTCCAGTATCTTTCATATACCTGGGTATTGGTCCGCCTTTCAGTAGACAGTTATCAGGGGCACCCAACGACAGTTTCCTCCTAAATACATTAAAAACACGTTTAGGCTATCCAGGGTACCGTTTAGAGGCATTTTAAGTGGCGCTGTAAAATTTGTATCTGTTCGGTCATCCTAGGAAAACTTGAGTCTTTTCGAAATTACACGAAGGGCTTGAGTATTATTCTCCCGAAAATTTTAGATAAAATTTGACGTATTACGAATTTGCTAATTGCTCTCTCCATCACATTTTTGAATCCGAAAATTTTAGGTTTCCTTTTTTCTACGAAAAACAGCCTAACTTGGGAAGCAAAATGTAAAACTTGAACTTCAGGAAATCGTAGGGAATTAATGAGATAAGCTTCGAAAATTGTACATGAATGGAACGGTCATTTAGAAATTTTTAGCCGTCATCAAGAAATAGAAAATTCTTGTCAATATTTGCTTCTCCGAACAGATATTTTGCATAAAACAGTCGTTAAGTGCCCCTGAGTTATATCACTCGCAAATATATGAGGGATTTTAAAAATGACAGCATTTTTCATTCAGTTCTCTCTTGTATCTGTTATGTTATCACGGCGGGTACAAAGAACTCAAAAAGCTCTAAGGACAGAGGGAACACATCAGAAACTTACAGTGATTTCTGAAACGTGCAACGAGTGCAAAGTGGGAAAGCGTGCACTCGCCACTCTATGATTGATTTCAGGGGCGGATCCAGAAAATTTTAATAACGGGGATGCAACTTGTTCACACTGGTGAAGCCAATAACTTACTTCGTTAGTACACCATTCCAAACTGTTACACATTCCTTTCTACTGCGAAGAACCTTGCTGTCATGATACGTGATATTCTAATCGCGCAGTGCCCAGCTTTGAAGCATTCGTCTCTTGAGTTAAGTGATAAAATACTTTTGTCCAGATTTCGTTAATTTTAAGTCTTTAAGTCCCCTCCCTCTGGATCCGCCACGGGGTTTATTTTGGTTTTCCTAGAGGCAAATAACCACTTACTTGAAGTAAGGTTAAGTAAGGTTCTTGAACACCATAAAATACGCGGGAAAACCATCAATGGCCCCGCGAAACATCGGTTGTTTTCTCAGCTTTATAGTAAAATACCTGTCCAGCTTTACAGCATGTTAGTTGACTGATAACACTGATTAGTTTAATTCTCTTTTGTTAGCCGATGGCTTTACCAGAAAAGTAAATTTCGTTAGTCGGTATTTTTAATGTCAAATCGTGTTTAACTGAAAAATGAAAATTCAGGTCATATTTAAGTTGACGTGAGAACACGGTGTTCGAACAAGAGAAAACCAGGGATAGAAAAAGCAACTGTAAACGGCTTAATTGTATATCACTTCTAGTGTTAGAACCCTTAAGTCTCAAGGCTTAACGAGGCAGCGTGGATAGATTTACAGGACGTTAGAGACTGTACAGCATGCTTTATTCCTCTGGCGTTTTATTCTGCAGCTCGCTTATTTAAGAGAAGAATCCTAGGTACTTCTGCCAACGAAAAAGTGAGAGAAATTTGTGCGCTTGATATAGAAATTAGTAGTAAAGAGCAGGGCCAAAGCTCATGAACCGGTCCTGTGTTAATTCCTGGCTAAACTAATTACATTCCTGATCAGTCCTCGGCGTCCTGGTGCTAAGCCACGCTTACTCCTGTTTGATAGAAACCTTTTTAAGAATATCCTAAGAGCAGAGCAAAGTCAAGGCTGAAGTCCAGTCTAAAACATTGTCGATTCCACCAATTTCAACGTGAGGAATATAGAAAAATTGCTATAAAGACGGCTGTACATGTTTGGCTGAACATTGTGTGCACTGTTGCCTCTCCTGAGGTCACTATTGGCCTCTCAAAACAAGTGGTGAATTAAAAGTCGTCCATACAATGTTTACAAAATGTAATTTAAAAACATCTAAGAACGTTTTGAGGCTCAAATCGCCTCAAAAATAAGCAAGTTCAGTCTTGGCTCAGTTTCAGCTCAAAATTAGGCGTTCTTACATGGAGGGTCGGTATTGAATCTCGTCATCTTGACCCAGATATAAAAAAAGATGTACCGTATTTATTCCATTAACCGCCCTGAGCGCGTATTAAATTTTTGGACCTTGAGAGTGGGCGTTTATTAAATTTTCACCATTTTCAGCAACTGTAGTAATGTTTATTTTGCAACAAAACAACATCAAAGCAAGGTTTCTGTAAACTACTCTGAAGAAAACTCCGTCTTTAGGGAAGTCAGTAACTGAGTTCTCTGGTGCTACCTCCTGGATGTCCGGCAATGGGTTAAGTGCCCGAGAAGCAGATACAGCTTGCTGGATGGATGTTAGGTGGTGGGCGCTTATTCGAGGTTGGGCACTTAATAACTTTTTCTGCCTTTAGGATAGGCGCTCATTCGAGGCGGGCGCTAATTCGAGGTTGGGCGCTTATTCGAACAGATACGGTATGTAAATAGTCAACCGGTCAGCGTCACAGCCGGTTGGGATGTACCGCCAGCACTACGATACATTTGTTTCCATTTTATAGTTGGAATTTGCAGTGTCTTTTGCTTCAGTTTTCAGGCTCAGTTCCTGTCTGAGAAAAATTAGAATGGAAAAAAGCAAAGAACAAAATGGAATCTTGCACCCCCACTGAGCCTAAGAGTTGAAGCTTCGACACTTTGAAACTTGTTCATTACTATACAATATTTCTTAGCTAAGTATATTGCATAATGTCATAGGAAATTGTGTAGGCATTTTAATAAAGGTAATTCAAGGTTTGTAGTTTGCAATAGGCCATTTAATTTCCGAGTTACCTGGGCCTCTGTATAAAAGCGAGGTTAAGTACTCAGCCTTTGATATGGAAATGATTTATGCCAATAACACTCATTTTCACAAGAAAAGTGATGCACTTGGCCTCATTTTGAAAGTGAGGGCTTTTGGAACTCGGAAGTGGTCTATTACTGTATGTTTTGGAAGAGTCGGTACACACGCAAATGTCCGCCAGCTGGAGAGTTTAATAAGGGTTTTCAGCCATGCAGGGAGACATGAACATTCCTTCATTTCGGTAACAGGCATTAAATCACTCACCGACCTAGCAGACTGCTGGAAGGATCGAAGAAATCGAGACCAGGTGGACTCGCGCGTGTGTGCATCAACACCTTTGAAAACGGCTTATATAAAGTGTTATGCCTTTTTTTATTTTAAACCAAATGACTAAGAAAATGCATTCAGGCGATGCCCTGCACAAATCCAAAGCGGCTCTTTGGTTGGTTATCGAGTTCAAAGGAATGTTTTTTTCCTCATAAAATGCGCATGAAAATGTGCATCTCTGTGATTCGTTGGTTCAGTTTAAAGTGATAATGTGGTTGAAGGAATTTATAGTTTTAACACAATCTGTGGTACTGCATTGGTGAGAGAGACCAACTCGCAAAAAAAAAGGTTTTATCCCTCGAGTTTATAAAATCAAATCACCACCGTAAAAACTGTTTCAAAGCTGACGTTTGGAGCATGGCCCATAAAGGTATATCCGCCCTGGTTTCGGCCGCTTGCCCTCCGCTCTGAGGAAGATCAAACATTCGAAACAGAGGTGCTCATTGCAGACCAGTCACAGAGCTGCTTTAGAATGGCGCAGGTCAGCTGTTATAAATTATGCTAGTTATTTAGGTAACAAAAGGTAATTTTGATTAGCTTGCTGCTGCTTTAAACCAGCCTTAAGTATAAAGTAACTTTCGGTTGTAGCTTTCGTTCATTATCGTAAGTTATTTGCCGTCAGTTGTTTAACCAACCGACTTTGAATCTGCAAAATAAAACTGAGTTCTGTGCTTGGTAGTCAACCCAAGTTGTCTAGTGTTGTGGAATCCAGGTTAAGTTGAGACCTTTTCCATGGCTTCTATCGTCAAGATTTTGATTTGTGACAACAATCTTAATGGTCGCTTGAGAGAGCAGCCAAAATCTGGGGACACCACCACTGGCTTCTCCGCAAAATGACGTTTGGAGATGACTGCAGAAATTTCATACTGGTGACGTCATGTGTCACTACCCAGATCCTGACTGGTCCCCAGTCGTCTCTCTCTGTCTCTCCTTAGTGGCGCGAGGGGTCTGATGACTCCCTTCTCCCGCCGCGCGCGTTACGCGAAGACGACTGGGGACGAGTCAGACCCACATCTGAGTAGTGCTTCTGAATGCAATTTACCCTCGGCTCACGACCAATCAGAAGCACTACCCAGATCTAAGTATTGGCACCTGGGTATGAAATTTCTGCAGTCATTTCTCAGACGTCATTTCACAGCGAAACCAGTGTTGGTGCTTTTTTCTCAGGCTATCTGACGGTTGAGTGAGTCACGTGGGTAGGCACAGGCATCGATGTAGACTTTGAAAATCGAAATTTAAATTTTTCCCACATAATCTCCTTTTGGCCGCCATCTTGGATTTCAGGGAAGGCTACAAAAGTTGCTTATTTTCTTTTAAAGTTAAAAAATCGTGTTTTAAACATAAAAATTAAAACATATTGGAACT